TTGACGGGGTGTCTAGCGCTCAGTCAGGATCAGTTCCAGTCAATCAATACGATAGTGGTGGAGTCTTCTTCCTACATGAGTTTTAACACAGGGAAAAAGTTAGACTGTACCTTGTACATGGTGTGCTTGCTGGCCTGGCGGCGTGGGCCAAAGCCAATCGGGCTCCACTAATGGAGGAAGATGAGGGGGTAAGGGTAATGCCACGCATCACGTGGGAGTAACAGCGACTGAATTTTTCATGTCGACGTCGTTGTGTATGTGGTAACACAATTAAAAGACACCACCAAGGCATTATTCGCCCATTACAGGAAGCCAAGCCAAGTGAAGTTAATCCTACGTGGAACTTACTTCTGGGACCCATGCTTACCTTATTATCATATGAAACCAAACAAAGCAGAATCATATAATTTTATTTCGTTAGACAGAACAAAACAAAGACGACCACTGAAAAAGTCGTTAAAAATATCCATTGCCACAACATAATCGCACAAATGAGGTTTTATGCGACATAAAATCAGTCACGAAATGGAATAGCATGGACAGGAACCCGATATGCTGCTTACTTTGGATTGATGTTGAACAGTAAGCTTTACACGCAAAGATGAACCGACTTGTTTTTTCCTAGCGTGGATAACTGTGGCTAGAACAACCAACATATATATATTAGGGCACAGTATCAAAGCAAATGGGATTATACCTGATTCGTTATTTATCAACCACTTAGGAAAAGCGGAAGCTCTATTTTGCAACAACTACATCCCGGTATCTGCAACGTCCCTCTCATCTGGAAAGATTGTATTTCAATTAAGGCAGCATTGGGATGCAAGCTGTACGACGTTATATCTTTGATATCTTTGTTCTTTTTGTTGTAGCAACGCGGTGATCTAAGCCGTTTGTTAGATCAAAGTAGTTCGCATTTGAGCCAGGAGGAGGAACAAGCTATTTGCTCACAAACCTTTGTAATTATCAGGAGCAAGCACCTCGAGGGGCCGTCGGCTTGGAGATAAACGTGACGAATAGGCGTGTCGACCCAGCTTACATCTTCTCTCAATCATCGCAAAGGATTTAATAGTAGTTATTTCATTCGAGGATTATGTTAATAATCTACGCCTCGGGAACGTTTTCTTGATTTTCTCAACCTTATTAATTGATGGATTTATGTTTATTAAGATAAACCCACGAGACCGAAGGTGCACGGCAAAGACATACCAAGTAGCCGATCTATATAAACGCATTTAGAGCTCGAAGCAACAGTTTATTGAGCGAAGATGTTTGTTGGAATGTGCACAATTCTTGATGTTACGAGCATTAATCGTTAAAACATTCTGTAAAGAAGCAACCGTGCAGTCTGGGGAACCAGAAGCTATGTATGTTTAACAAGAGATTAAGAAAATCAATCAGCGTAAACGGAAAATTCCCAAAATGATGAATTCACCCCTTGGGCTGATTTCATTGATTTAGCTGATACTGATATCAGCGGGACAAATGCCGGACAGGAGTGATTAGAGATGCAAACTTGATTAAAGTAAAACCGTTCACAGGCACATTTTTTTTTTCAAAAATGGGAGTAAATTAAATATTTTATCATATAATTTGCCAATCGGTCCTGTATCATGTAATTAACTGCCGCGACACACGTAGCGTCAAAAGAACTACTGTATCACCTTAATAACTTGACTATACATACGTATGGGACTAAATAACGTAATGAAACTACTATACTTAATGACTTTGGATATATGATCATGCAGGCCAACTCCAATGAAATAACCATTGTTAAGGCGATACACCGAAGGATCCTGGGCTGAATTCCAACAGGGACTCAGTTCTGCTTTGAATCCGTCATCAAGAACGACACTCGAATCATGCCTAGAATGCGCCCACCCTCACGTTTCTTCCGCCCAATGCCATTGGCTGGTGAAAGGGAGGCTCCATGGTTAAAGGGAAGCACTGGTATAAGTGTTGTAGCGTTTACTTGTATCTATTTTGTACATTTCTGTATCTTAATCGGCCATTAGTGGTGTTATATTTAATTATCATTATTTCTCATCGCCATTCTCCAACTTTTCTAACAATTGTAATACAATATTGATTATGTTGGTGGCGTGCGTTATCTCTTTCACATATTGAAAATCGACAATACAAAAGGACGCATGAAAATTTTATGAAACCAATATACTTATTAATGTAGTACATCTCCTTCCCTTTTTTCTTCTTTGCAACATTTAGGCATCTCTACGTCCCAAGGGATTGTGAATTAGATTTTGCAGTCATCGTTATTTTTTTGCCCCTGGATCCTATGGCATTATTTCTACTTTCAGAATGAAGCTTTTGTGCGTAATTTGTGTATGTTTTTCTTGATCATCTGAGAATGGTAAACCTACTGAGACCATCGAATTAAGTGGAACGAAATCGAATTACTTTTTACTTTAAAATGGGCTGCTCACACTTAATTTCAACCTGTAGGTTCAGCACTTAACGGAAGATATTGTTCAATCATTGTGATTTAGAGAGATAAAAATATTGATTATTAAGCGTCCAAATATATATATATATATATATATATATATATATATATATATATATATATATATATATATATATACAAAGAATTGTCCCAAATGTGAATAACCTGAATCATGAGTATCACCATTACGTTCAAATAACTGTATGAATCAATCGGATGAACTTAAGGTTAAGAGAGGGTGAAATCTGAATCGACAGTCTTTGTACACAGTTTTTTAGGCACGCAGCAGCCATTGTCCCCACCTTTCAAAATCCGGTGTAATTTCCTATTTCTATACTTTGGAAAGAATGTCTCTCGGGAATCAACAAATCCGCAGAGACTGGTAAAGCTCTATGCAGAACACAGAAACACAAATGGTACAATGGCGTGTGTGGAACTTCGACTACTGGCGATAAAGCACTGCGTTTTAATTTTAAAAAAGATTGGGTTATTTTATTGCTGGTTTAAAGGCAACACCCGGAAACTGTGCTATTTTTGAGTTCTCTCTGGTCGGTAAATACATTTTGGTTAGTTAATATGAAGAATAAAAATTTAGCCCTTTTACGATTTGTTCTTCTCATCTGTCAAATGTTTGTGCATGTATTTTATTTTTTTATGAAATCCTACTTTTAGTTATTATTATGTATGATAATGCAGTACTAACTTAATGACGTCACGTATATTTAGTAATCATAAATATTACCTTAATTCTGTATCTTATAGAGCGTTCCATGGTTGCTACATTATCCTTCAGTATAGTTCCCGCTCACTGCAGACATCTTACACTCAACAGGAAAGATGGAAGGTTTTATCGCATATATAAATCACGTTAATAGCTTTCAAATTACCTTACACATTCCATTGAATGTTCCCCCTTTCCTCATATCCGCCAATTACTGCTCCAGAATTGATTGGTTTATTGGCAAAAGGAGTTAACAGTGAACGGTGTGTGTCACATTAGGCAAAGAGGCAGGCCAATTATATATGATATTCTCGGTTTTGCATATATATATATGAACTGTCAGGAAACTTTTATTATTAGATTTTGAAAGGTTTGCTAATGCAAAGGCCTTTCTGATTGCATCATGTAATGTAATGTAAAGAACCAGGGGGAGTTAGAAGATGTTTGCTAATGGCTTGGCTCCTGAATAAGTCTTTTATTCCAACCTGCGATGTGAAAATGAGATCACATTTTTTTCTTATAACTTTAATGATAAATGACCACGTGCAAGCGTTTCCAGTAAGAGCAACTTTTTCCGACTTGACTCCTTGCTTGTTGGTGCAATAAGGGTACAGCTGGTTCAGTTGGTAGATGCTGTTGTAAAAGCTTGCCTGAGGAGTGATTGTACCACGTGATTTAGACTTGAACTCTTCGAAAACTGATCTCGCAATATGTAACTTGCATTACTGATTTGTGAATGATGGATTCCAGTCGGTTTACACAGTAAAACTCTTCTTCGAATGAGAAAAATATCATGTCACTCTGATGATCTACATGCACATGTATGTATTTAATCCGTGAAGATACAAAGCACCAGGTAGTCTAAGACGCAAAATCACGACAGCGATCGTTGTACATAGAGGAAAATGCTTGTAAGAGCGCAATGAAACTGGTGATCTACGCAGACTCCAACTCCGCGGGGACTCACGCTGAATGCAATCAACCTTAAAGTTTTATTCATCGTTGTGTAGTCTCCATGCGCTGTATAGGATCGGTCTGTTGAAATAAAACAACCAAGGGGGGTTTGTCAATTTAGAATTTGTAATACGTCCCTATGGAATTGAGTAGATAACCCCAAGTCGCAGCGGTCCGTGTACACTAAAGCTGCAATTTATCCTTAGCAAATACCGGTATTTAATTAAATATCATGGCTTTCGGCGTAGGCTGTCTTATATGTAATTTACTTGTCCGTGTGTGTGTGTGTGTGTGTGTGTGCATGCGTCTTCTTGCGCCAGGAAAATGGGTCATTTTCTTAACTTCCATGGTAGAATATGTACATGTAAATGTTATTGTGTATCTATTTGTTTAAACGTTGCTTTATACAGGCCTAGGCAATTGAAGAGTAAGGTACATGTACGCGCGACGTCTAAAACTCCGTGATATAGTACTGACATGTTGTAAAACCTTGACCTTCTTAAAACCAGATTGGTAGTGGGGAGTCTTGTGTGATGCCACATGCGCCAATCTACTCTACTATGTATATGCTGACATATAGTTATGCCCATTTGTTCGTAACTTTATTTATTCTGTTTATCATTCATTGTGTACACGTGTGGGATATACAGGTGCACATAGAAAGACCACATATAATTCCTTGTTAAGTGTTCTAAATCCTTGTTGCCCACGCCGCTGTTAGATCATCCAGGCAAAGTGGTTGTTTCGAAATGTGCACAACGACCAGCTTTGTAATATATACAACACTATTGGCAATAGTTAAAATGATATATTTTTCTAAAAATGTCTTGTTCTAATTTCCTTTCGTGTTTTTTACAGGTATTGGTGTACATAATGTCTATAGCGGTATTCGTTATTATTATCATTATGGCGACGTCGACGGCGATTACTTCCGGAAACAGTCGAGGCAATTATTTCTACCAGACAGAAACTGGAAACACAACGACTGATGGGACACGTGCACCTAACTATACTAATGTGAATATAATATCAACAGAAAGAGACAAAGAAAACCAGCAGAGGAAACATCAAGGAGCCGTCCGTTTTGCCAAAATCACACAATCACTGACAACGTTAAATTTATTATCAAATTTTGAGAGGAACTGCTTCAAGCTAACAGAGATAAGAAAGGTTTCAGAAAACAAAGGCAAGTTATTGAAAGTCGAGTTAGTATTCACGGAGCTTGATATTGTTGATCATTTCGAACCCTTTTCAAAGCCAACGGTTGACGTTCAAGAAACATATGACGTAAGCAACGCATACCTCCTGGACTACGCCCAGGCGGGAGACAACAATTTTACCATAAGCAGCAGTTACGATGACCAGAACAAAAAGTGTGAACATGTACTTACAAACACGTATAACGTAACGCTAGATGTGTTGCCTGATGGAGATCTGGATGAAACCGGAAATGAAACCTTCCCAGAATCCAATGAAACGTCTAACGGGAACAAGGACAAAGAGGAAAGATTGGCAGCACGTAAGATATGCCTATGTTTACAACACTAATGTCCCTTTTGTACAATCTCGTACGAAGACATCGGAACCCCTCGAATTGGAATTGGAATAGTTTTCCATACATTGATATATCATTGAAAATGCAGCGGAAAATTGAGTTCAAACCTACCGTTTGGATTCATTTTCCTTTTAATACAACTGTGTTAGTGGTGCATAACGATTGCACTTAGAGGTGTAGCATATTCAAGTAACACGGATAGTTTTTAACAGATTGCATTCATGGTACATACTGTAATTATTACACATTACGCTCTTATGACCTGTGGAAAAATACATGCTCTCATGGAGCTTTGCCATTCCTAAGTGACCCGTTTTTTCTACCCTGCATTATATCGAAATCAATTTTGTTTCAGCACACCTAACTTCGACGCAGATAATGGTAATAGCAGTTTGCTCCTCTGTGATAGGACTTTTCTTCATAGCCGCATTGACAATGAGAATAAGGTGAGCATTTCACTATCACAAATAACTTTTAAGTGATATTAGTACATGGAGATAAAATAAGAGAGAGAACTAAAAGAAAAGTAAATATCAGAACGTCTGTAGGAATTATTCCTCGCCCTTCGCGAAACAAAGTTGCTATATTCGGTGAGTCGTGATTTTCAACTCATCGGACTTGCATTTCCAATGAGAAATGAATAAAGTTTTATTTACTGTGATTTGTGATGATTTTATTTCCCGTAAACTGTGATCATACCCCCTCCCCAAGGGCACCCTCCGTAAGCTATTAACAGTTGAATATTTTAATTTCGCAGGACTATATACATGTATGTAGCCAAAGAAAGCGCAACGCTTCTCTAGGTAATTAAGTTCATTGTTTTTAACCTTTATTCCCTATTTGGTTACCACGTGCATTTGGTTTAACATTTTATTTAACTTACAGAAACTATTTCCGACGTCTTAGACGGGAGCAGGAGTTGGCAGAACGGCCCAGCTTTCGGGGCTACACGGTGGCTCTGAAACACGAACCAAAACGCCATCGAGAGCACGGATCAAGGTCAACACGCAATAAACATGGAGACGCTATGAATGGGGTACATTTAACATTTGTTTTCCTCAGTTTTTATTTCAAGTTTTTAGCGTCATAATTTTAATAAAGTTATTCTTAATTGAAATTTGTTAAATAGTAAGTAAATTAAATTACGTAAATATCGGCCCATAACATATTCATCGAAAAGCTCATTATCATATAAACGTTGCTTGGGAAGGGTGCCTCTTTTTAGTTAATACGTTGTTGGAATGGAGTTTCAGTGAATTTTTAAATTATAGTAAAATATTAGAAGTAGGGTGAAATAGGGGAGTTGTCGTTGACAGCGATTAGATGATAACAAAAGGGTAACCAGAAGGGCCACATCATTTTATTTGGAACACGTAATTCATTCGGAATCCATCATTCTGTCGTTGCCATAACTACCAATAGGAAGAGCTAAGGTACCATGCCCTTGGAGCTCACCACGCCGAAAGCGATGGCAATATATCGCCATTACCCCGAGACTTATCCCGCCAACGTGAACATTGGCCGTTAGACCATGCAATTCCGCTCCGTCTGTCGTCCCCGGTTTTAGAACTGCATCAGCCCTATACAGACCTCCCCGTGTATGTCAGGGATAAGGTAACACGCTCCTGTAGACATCTCCTTCCCCCTTCAACTTCAAAACTGCCTTCGCCTCTCTCTCTCTCCGTTGATCCACTTGTCCTCTTTGAGGAAAACAGAACTATTCAGATATCACAGGACAATGAGTCATTTTACCTTTCTGCTTTATGATATACGCATATGAAATTTTCCTTTATCATCTATTCTATCATTATTACTTATTACACCATTTCTTAGATGATAATGTTTTAAACAAGCCGGAATTTTCTTCCTACCGTTGGCTTGCGGCCAACAGGGTCGCAGACCTTCATCAGACTGACATGAGGGGTATTATAGCGGCCAGACTGACGTGAGGGGTANAGCGGTCAGTGAAGAACAACATACATGTAATCACGTCAGTCTGATGATGACCTACGGCCATGTTGGCTGCAAGCTCACGTTTGGAAAATAATTTTCAGCTTGTGTTAAAGATGTTTCATCTATCTTCCGCCTCCAGAGTTCACGAACATTTTTGCTCATATATGTATATCATGTCTAATTTACAAAAATGTCATAGTCCCCAGTTCCCCTTCCTGTCCCTACCGATGCCACTATTCACTATTCATTTTACATTGTTAATATGTATGCATATAATTTTTTTATTTTGATCTCATTTTCCTACTTCTCACTGTCCCTGTCTTAAATGGTTGACACCATAGAAATGGTAGTTTGCTATAGTGCATAGGCATATGTATTTGCAGCGAAAGAAAATTCGTATACGTATCGAGTCACAATCTATCTTCAAATATGAACATGTACAAAAAGAGGCCGGTGTGACGTAACTGAGGGTCCATGAGCCAGGGAGTCAACCTTCCATTAAATTTTACAGGTTAGCCTGGCGTTAGTGGGCCAAAATCTAGGACGAGGCTTTCCTGTGCAAATCAATGGGAACCGGGCCCTTTATCACGGGCAACTCTGTGTCACGTGACACCGGCAGCAATTCAGCAACTTGCCCAAAATAGTGTTGCCTATATGTTTTCTTTTCATTCGTAGGATGCTGCGACGAAAAAACATGATAAAGGTGAAAAGAACTCCCGTAAGCCAAGTGAAACTTTAACAACCAGCAATCAACAAGAAAAAGACGAGACTCTCTGTCTGAAGCAGAAGCCATTGTCGACCAATTCTTTCACTAGCTGTGATATTCCCATTAGTAACTCTATATCTGGAGAGTTTGCAGATTATAGTAGCATCATGTCAACGCCATTCAACCAGTCATTTAAATCGAAAGCATCAGCATCTTATAACAACAATGAACAGCAGCACAATTTTACGAACGGCGCGTGTGGCGGTTATCATGGCAACGGCGAAGCCGCTCTCGGCTCAGCACGGGCGCGTTCAGCCACAGATTTGACGCATTTACCACCGGAAGTAACGTTGGATTATGCAACCTCACCGGAAGTGACGGTTCCACATAGTGAAAAACAGTCTTTAACGATTGAGAAGCCACGTTGAGAAACTTAATCTTGGTCATATTGAGAGCTTGAGGACTTTCTTCCCAATGATGATTAGCTTACAATGCATCTAGACTAAAATGTCTTTAAATTCGTAGCAGAAAAACCATAGACGTTCAAAATGTTGGAATCTAGAGTTATTGAAATCGTTTGTCCTCCATCAGTACACGCATACAGTACCTATTCAAAAGCCACACCGCTGGAAATATTTATCGGCTGTAGACGTTTCTCTCTTCCCTATTTCAGTATGTTTTAATTATACAGTCTATCAGACTGGACATATATCCAGAATTCTTAATGTCACTCTTCTTTGGTTTCCTATTTAAATTGTATATGTTGCGTCAGTAATTTTTGACAGAATTTTATGAAGTAAATGAGCGTTCCGTTTCAATAGCATGGATGCGTATATTTTCCTACATGTGATCAGTATATGTTTCTATATATATTTGAGGGTTTTTCACATTTTGCACGGTACAAGCCGAATACTAATAAATGGAATGTTAGCAAAAGACATTTTAATTTGATACCTTATGTATAATTGATACAGTTGTTTTATTGACAGAGCATGTTTCTGAGACATTCGTTGGAAAGACTACTACCTGCGCACCGCAATAAGTTGGAGACGAAGCCTGCTGTATATATATCGGTGTCGCAGCGCACGTGTTGCCCTGCGTATTCGCGGTGTACAACCCTTTCTTCCCGCCAGAGTGAGTCAAAGCCGCGATTTCTGAATGGCATGGGTCTTGCCTTCAGGTAGAGGATTCATAAACGAAGATGCAAAAAAAAATTTAATCTGGCACATTCGTGACCAGCATCCAAATTTCCAAATGCGTCTTTGAATATATTGAATATGTCTTTACAAACAGCGTCTAAATTGGAAAATACCGGGTAAATATCATTCAGAAGTACCAAAAAGGACGTTGCAGAAGATTCTTTCAATGCACGCACTGGTCCAGCAATGTCAGCTGCTGTATATGACAGTTAAATTATCCTTGTGCATTCGGAACCCACTTAATAAAGCAATAGCCACACAATCCATCCATGTTTTTGTAGCAGACAGAGGCATCAGATCTTTACATTATACACAAAGCCGCTCGCATATAGGTATGACCATTTCACAATGCCTTGTGTCTTCTGTAACACAATCATAACACTACCTGACAGGCTCAGTTATAACAGGAATGGTAGTCCTAGGGATGGACGTCCCGGGTCCCATATGATTAGTGCAGGCAAGGACTTTGCACAGGTTAGGGTGACCGGTTAGCATATCACCTGTACAAGAAAATGGGGAACAGACCTCGGTTCCTAGCGGACTGCCATTCATGTCACACCGGTACGCTCTGTAGTCTTGGATGGGACAACAGCACTCTCAACAGATCCCCCCCCCCCCCCCCCAATGTAGGTACCGATTTACTTTACGAGCAATTTCTGGACATTTTTAAAAAGGCATTTGAGGATACAAATATCAATTTCCATTTTCTCAAAAATAAATATATATATATATATATATAGGCCTATATGGTTCATTTACGAATGTGTGTGTCATCCTTGCGGCAACACTCCAATCGTCATTTGTGCCAATTTGTTAAGTTGTATCAACGATATTAAGTACAGTGTACTAAGTAATTAATTTCGCTTGTATTTCACCCTATTTAGTTTGAAATTACCTTTCCCTGTGTTTACTTGCAACTTGACTTGTTTCTCAAGTTTGTTGCGGTGTATTGCTGTGTATTGCGCAATTCAGCGACACCGTCAGCAATGACGTCATGTAAATCAGCGAATCACGTCCGCAGTAAATGACCCACGTGGTGTGAAGTTTTCAGGCACTTGCTGGAGGCAGCAAGCATTTTCACGCCTGTGCGATTTATGAGATCTTTTCTCGCCAACCAGTGAGCAGGATTTTTAAACGTGACCACCGAACGAATAGTAAAGTTGTCGCAGATATTTAGAAAGGAAACAAGATGTCAGTCATTCCCAAGTTTAAAACTCGGTGCAATGTTTTCTATTTTGGACGTGGGATCGGTTGTACAATGTCAATGTTTCAGAAATCGAAATGAAGCTCAGGGATTAACCATGGCGTCGACCCAGTATTCCAGAGGAGCCGGGACGGAGCACTGACACACGGTGAGAGCAACACCGGCTGCTGCTTCTGCAGTCACTGCCTTCCTCGCTACGGACGCAAAACCACAGGAAAAGACTGCGGAGGGGGTAAGGTCAGATGATAGAATCGCCCAACTTGACCTGGATATCACGGACTGACAAGATACAGGGCGAGTAAATGCAAACTCACGGTGAACTCTTTGTTTGTTTTTAAACATTTATGATAGGCAGATAGATATATATAGCCTGGGTGGGGATGGAAGATTATTCCTAACAAAATTGCCATTAGAAGACAAAACTGTAATTTCATTAAACTTACAAGGCTTTAGTTTACTAACTGTGCAGGGCCTTTCTTATTTTATCATGTGCACTTTGCTGGCTCTCTCTCCCTTCACACACACACACACACACACATGCACGCATGCACACACACAAACACGCACACCATGTGCCCCAATCAAACCTGTCAGATAAACTGCAGTGTTAGAATAATGAGAAGAATGCTAAATGCCATGTAGTATGTGACGACAGTGTTACTGCAGGCCTCGACAAACTTACTATGTACAGGGGCGGATTCAGGGCGTCTTCTGGCTTTCCTGGAAGTATGGGAATGGCTTGATTGTTCTAACCGGGTAAATTGTAAATTTTACAGAGAATGTATTGTTTTAAGTAAAACATAAAAGTGAAATGCGAAAGACTAAGCTAGACGGATAACTTGATCTGAACACAGCCCGAGATTAGTCCTAGCACAGCCAGTACACTCCACGACAAATAGGGGCGTGTACCTAGATAGATTTGTTGTGTGTTTGTGTGTTTATTTCTGAAATAAATATTTTTAGATATTTAAATTTGTAAGAAAAAGTATTATGATAAATTTAAGTAATTAAAGTGAAGAGAACTGTAAAAGATAAAAAAGAAAATTGAACATCTTATAATATAATTATCCATGTTTTCAGATGCATGCTGGGACTGGCAGCCCTGTACATGGACCATTCCAATGCAGGGTTACATAGTGGAGTTGGTGGAGACCTGCAATGCTCCCTGGAAAGGAGGCATGGAATAAAACACAACATATTTAACCTGTAAGGCTAGAATGAATGCCCTCTTAAACTATCTTAGAACTCTTATTTATTTCTCTGCAAGTAATGTTACCCTAAGACAAAAGTAGTCCTTTTGAAGTTCTGTAAAATGAGAAGTTGGATTATCACTGATTTCTCTACATGCATATGTTAGTGTACTACAAAAATAGGTCTCAGAGATAGATAAATGATTGTTAATGCTATGTAAATTATTGAAAAAAATTACGTTAAAACAAATGCCTTGGGTAAAAGAATGTAATTGTTATTTTGTGAATTCATGAAACTGTTGTGGGTTCTGCATGTGTATGTGGGAGTGTTGGTCATCTGAGGTTTTTTTCATGTTTGTTTATGTATTGTCAGATCACCTAGTGTATAGCAGTGTATAGACCCATTGGTGCATGGTAACTGACCAATCAGAGACACAGAATTCTACTACAGGTATAATGACACATGATTACAGAGATAAGCAGTTATCTTGAGTGGTTGACTAGACTTTTACTGATTTCACTGCATGTGTAATGGTGTAATCATAGCACAGTCACAGAGTTGTGTAATTTGTGAATTATGGATAGCTATATAGACTTTCAGTGATTTATCTGCATGAAATGTGAAAATACAATCACAGTTATGTAGTCATCTAATACAGATAGCTAGCTATAGACTATCATTTATTTCTCTGCATGTTATATTATTATGATACAATCACAGATTTATGTAGTCACCTAATGTGAATAGCTAGCTATAGACTGTTACTTATTTCTCTTCGTATAAAAACAGCTGTGCAGTTATTTATTATTTACACTAATATAGCTGGACTATCACTTTCTTGCATGTAATAGAGCAATAATGAACACTTAAGCGGGTTTTTAATAAATCATTATATTGAAAAAGGTTGCTTGCCTTACTTCAATTCCTGCTTAGATTTAATAATAAATGTAATTAGGCATTAAAGAGGAATAATTCGTTGAACCTCAAGAATTCTATACGTTGGTAAATACAAGCATGCGAACAGATGTGATACAGATTTGGGTCAACGCCCCCCTTAATCCCCTTGATCTCAACTGTAGCAATTGGCAGCAATGCGGCACAACCAACACCGTTAAGTCTTATTTGTGTATACAAGTAAACTGTGATAGCTACCCGCCTAGAATCAAACAAGGATCTTTTCACCACGCGAAATTGGCATTCACAATACATCGCTGGATTCTATGCTATTTATGTGATTCCTGGTAAAGTGTTCAATTTATTATTATTATTGTTTAATTATTATTATGATGATTTCATTTTTGGTTATTATTTTTCTTTGCGTAGGGATACAAAGAAGATTGTGTAAGTGCCTCAACATGTCAGGTAACATTGTAAACCAAATTCCTTTAAAACAGAATGCTATAAAAAAACATTGGGATAGCACCAAGCGCATATGTATGGATTAGCCTAAAGACGTAATATTGGGGGGGGGGGATTGGAATGCTTTAGAGAAGATGTGAATATTACCTAGCGTAAAACAAACGGTTTTCCTCTGCATTTACCACGACAACGCTTGAAAACAATTTGAAATATTATCATTAATCTGAAGGACTGTGTTAAAGGTTCTGTTTGTTCGATGACTTTTTTTTTATTTTTTTTTATTTGAGAATGCGTCAGATGTAAAACTCTAGAATAGATAATATTTCACTTATTCATGTTCATTGTTCTTTCTCGTAATATCAATTACCGGCATAATATAAGCAACGTGGCATGAGTATTCAAAGCTTTATAACCTGCTNTTAGTAATTAATTTCGCTTGTATTTCACCCTATTTAGTTTGAAATTACCTTTCCCTGTGTTTACTTGCAACTGGACTTGTTTCTCAAGTTTGTTGCGGTGTATTGCTGTGTATTGCGCAATTCAGCGACACCGTCAGCAATGACGTCATGTAAATCAGCGAATCACGTCCGCAGTAAATGACCCACGTGGTGTGAAGTTTTCAGGCACTTGCTGGAGGCAGCAAGCATTTTCACGCCTGTGCGATTTATGAGATCTTTTCTCGCCAACCAGTGAGCAGGATTTTTAAACGTGACCACCGAACGAATAGTAAAGTTGTCACAGATATTTAGAAAGGAAACAAGATGTCAGTCATTCCCAAGTTTAAAACTCGGTGCAATGATTTCTATTTTGGACGTGGGATCGGTTGTACATGTACAATGTCAATGTTTCAGAAATCGAAATGAAGCTCAGGGATTAACCATGGCGTCGACCCAGTATTACAGAGGAGCCGGGACGGAGCAATGACACACGGTGAGAGCAACACCGGCTGCTGCTTCTGCAGTCACTGCCTTCCTCGCTACGGACGCAAAACCACAGGAAAAGACTGCGGAGGGGGTAAGGTCAGATGATAGAATCGCCCAACTTGACCTGGATGTCACGGACTGACAAGATACAGGGCGAGTAAATGCAAACTCACGGTGAACTCTTTGTTTGTTTTTAAACATTTATGATAGGCAGATATATATATATATATATATATATATATATATATATATATATAGCCTGGGTGGGGATGGAAGATTATTCCTAACAAAATTGCCATTAGAAGACAAAACTGTAATTTCATTAAACTTACAAGGCTTTAGTTTACTAACTGTGCAGGGCCTTTCTTATTTTATCATGTGCACTTTGCTGGCTCTCTCTCCCTTCACACACACACACATGCATGCATGCACACACACAAACACGCACACCATGTGCCCCAATCAAACCTGTCAGATAAACTGCAGTGTTAGAATAATGAGAAGAATGCTAAATGCCATGTAGTATGTGACGACAGTGTTACTGAAGGCCTCGACAAACTTACTATGTACAGGGGCGGATTCAGGGCGTCTTCTGGCTTTCCTGGAAGTATGGGAATGGCTTGATTGTTCTAACCGGGTAAATTGTAAATTTTACAGAGAATGTATTGTTTTAAGTAAAACATAAAAGTGAAATGCGAAAGACTAAGCTAGACGGATAACTTGATCTGAACACAGCCCGAGATTAGTCCTAGCACAGCCAGTACACTCCACGACAAATAGGGGCGTGTACCTAGATAGATTTGTTGTGTGTTTGTGTGTTTATTTCTGAAATAAATATTTTTAGATATTTAGATTTGTAAGAAAAAGTATTATGATAAATTTAAGTAATTAAAGTGAAGAGAACTGTAAAAGATAAAAAAGAAAATTGAACATCTTATAATATAATTATCCATGTTTTCAGATGCATGCTGGGACTGGCAGCCCTGTACATGGACCATTCCAATGCAGGGTTACATAGTGGAGTTGGTGGAGACCTGCAATGCTCCCTGGAAAGAAGGCATGGAATAAAACAACATATTTAACCTGTAAGGCTAGAATGAATGCCCTCTTAAACTATCTTAGAACTCTTATTTATTTCTCTGCAAGTAATGTTACCCTAAGACAAAAGTAGTCCTTTTGAAGTTCTGTAAAATGAGAAGTTGGATTATCACTGATTTCTCTACATGCATATGTTAGTGTACTACAAAAATAGGTCTCAGAGATAGATAAATGATTGTTAATGCTATGTAAATTATTGAAAAAAATTACGTTAAAACAAATGCCTTGGGTAAAAGAATGTAATTGTTATTTTGTGAATTCATGAAACTGTTGTGGGTTCTGCATGTGTATGTGGGAGTGTTGGTCATCTGAGGTTTTTTTCATGTTTGTTTATGTATTATCAGATCACCTAGTGTATAGCAGTGTATAGACCCATTGGTGCATGGTAACTGACCAATCAGAGACACAGAATTCTACTACAGGTATAATGACACATGATTACAGAGATAAGCAGTTATCTTGAGTGGTTGACTAGACTTTTACTGATTTCACTGCATGTGTAATGGTGTAATCATAGCACAGTCACAGAGTTGTGTAATTTGTGAATTATGGATAGCTATATAGACTTTCAGTGATTTATCTGCATGAAATGTGAAAATACAATCACAGTTATGTAGCCATCTAATACAGATAGCTTGCTATAGACTATCATTTATTTCTCTGCATGATATGTTATTATAATACAGTCACAGTTGTGTAGTTATCTAATAGGCTATGGATAGCTAGCTATAGACTATCATTTATTTCTCTGCATGTTATATTATTATGATACAATCACAGATTTATGTAGTCACCTAATGTGAATAGCTAGCTATAGACTGTTACTTATTTCTCTTCGTATAAAAACAGCTGTGTAGTTATCTATTATTTACACTAATATAGCTGGACTATCACTTTCTTGCATGTAATAGAGCAATAATGAACACTTAAGCGGGTTTTTAATAAATCATTATATTGAAAAAGGTTGCTTGCCTTACTTCAATTCCTGCTTAGATTTAATAATAAATGTAATTAGGCATTAAAGAGGAATAATTCGTTGAACCTCAAGAATTCTATACGTTGGTAAATACAAGCATGCGAACAGATGTGATACAGATTTGGGTCAAACCCCCCCCCCCCCTTAATCCCCTTGATCTCAACTGTAGCAATTGGCAGCAATGCGGCACAACCAACACCGTTAAGTCTTATTTGTGTATACAAGTAAACTGTGATAGCTACCCGCATAGAATCAAACAAGGATCTTTTCACCACGCGAAATCGGCATTCACAATACATCGCTGGATTCTATGCTATTTATGTGATTCCTGGTAAAGTGTTCAATTTATTATTATTATTGTTTAATTATTATTATTATGATTTCATTTTTGGTTATTATTTTTCTTTGCGTAGGGATACAAAGAAGATTGTGTAAGTGCCTCAACATGTCAGGTAACATTGTAAACCAAATTCCTTTAAAACATTAGAATGCTATAAAAAACATTGGGATAGCACCAAGCGCATATGTATGGATTAGCCTAAAGACGTAATATTGGGGTGGGGATTGGAATGCTTTAGAGAAGATGTGAATATTACCTAGCGTAAAACAAACGGTTTTCCTCTGCATTTACCACGACAACGCTTGAAAACAATTTGAAATATTATCAATAATCTGAAGGACTGTGTTAAAGGTTCTGTTTGTTCGATGACTTTTTTTTTTATTTTTTTTTCTTTGAGAATGCGTCAGATGTAAAACTCTAGAATAGATAATATTTCACTTATTCATGTTCATTGTTCTTTCTCGTAAAATCAATTACCGGCATAATATAAGCAACGTGGCATGAGCATTCAAAGCTTTATAACCTGATGTATTTTTTCAGTCTAATTTTTTATATATGTAGAGATGCATTTTGTTATTTTTTTTATGTGTAAATAATATTACTGATTTATTTATTTTGATTTATTTCATCATTCGGTTGTTAATAAGCCTTTTATTCATTTGTTATAAATATCCCCTTTATTTCGTGTTGTTGCTTTTATATGTGTGTGTGTATAATTTGTTATTTTTTTGTATTCCACGGAAAGCATCTAGTGCACTTTGCCTCCGTTTCTTTTAATACAATACGGGGCATCACTAGGCTAGGGCCCTCTCCAGAGCTGTCAATCAAAATGGTGGCACGCTTACATGCCTAACGAGTGGTCGGAAAATGTAACAAAAGCACGATTTTCAGCCCTTTCAAAGCACCCAAACAAAATATTTTTAGATGACAATAAGCAATGGTTCCATCTGATCGTATAACCGATAACAGGTAAATTTGCCAGCTAAGCATTTGACTAATAAGCCCTGTTAACCAACCTGTGAACGTTTTTGGCTGTTTTAACAGCTTTCTATATTGACGAGATAAGTGAATCGCTGCCAAGTATATCTCACTATCTGAGCAACCGATCGTTACAAAAGTTGCACCTATTGTTGTTAGGAATGTGGATTACAGCATGATATCAGGGGTTTAAGAGGAAATTGTTTGTTTGAAAGTTATCGCCTTTTGAAGTGAATAACCCATTGAAATATGGGCTGATTTAACGTAAAAGATGATAAAATCAAAAGTAAATAGTTTAAGACAATTCCCTGGTACCCCGCTGTAGTGCTTTCACCCAGCTTTATGAGGCCTTTTGAATCACTTGAATAGCTGTCTTGGTTATAGAGAAAATCCCAATACCGAAAACGGCATTTTTTCCCTCAAATTGGCGCCAGAGCGTCATCCGTTGGACACTGTACTTAATCCCCGTCTTAAATTGGCCTTTTGGGAAGTTTGTTTTAATTTTTTATAAAAACTTATAAGCCCAGGGCTTTGTTTCTATGACTTTGGTCCTTTTACTATTAGTGGCCTTAAGGAAAATAAACTCCTGTGTGTTCTTTACATCTGTCAGTAACCATAATCATCAAATCCCACACACGTTTGTTTTTAGGAACAGTGAAGATGGCCACACAGCGACTACTGTGATTTTTAAATTTTTTCCCTAAAATTACATTTGTTTTCAGTTATTTTTATTTTTTAAATTATTTTTATTTGTGTGAGTGTACGGAATGTTATTTATTACAAGGAACAGAGTAAAAACGTTGCGAGATAGAAGAACAGAAGAACGTTTTGGTATCAGAAGAAAATGCTTCTTATTCCGGTAGTTATCTCATCACAGCAGTATATCAGGTTTCCTTAGATTACACGTTTCCTTTTTATGCGCGCATTTCCGTTCAGTCGCATATTAAATGTCTTTCATTACATCAATTTCGGAAACATAAGTGTTTTAGAAAACATTTGGTAGTATTCTGAAACCTATCCTGTAGCTATACTATTTTTTGTCACTTTTCAGTATTTCTATTTGCGATACATTATTTTTTCGATAATTTTAGTCTTGTTCAATTTTTCAGATCTTAAATGTGTCTCACGCAGTCAACTATCTAACCTTATGTTTATTCTACTAATTGGGGGAAATGTTTCAACTTTCCCCGACGTTTCCTGTAGTTTGACGTCGCTGCAGTATTATTATTATCCTGCTATTATTGAATTTCCCCGCTGTGTTCTGATAAAGGATGTTGACTTCTCCGTTGACGCACCCACCCACAAACCCCATCTTTTCCAATCCCAGTATTGTTGCAAATATTTAATACAAGTACGTAAATTGTCGATATCTGCCTTTGCATGTGATTCGTCTTGCCCTTTTGTTCTTATTCATTTATTTAGTTATTATTATTATTATTATTCGTCACTTCTGCCTTGCTATGTGGATATATGTTAATATCAGTGTTTTGGCTCCCATGGCCCGATTTCTCTCTCGCAGTGTTGTTGAATATTAATATAAATACTGTGTTTGACTACTATTTAATATTAGCTGGTCTGTTAAAACAACCGTTACGTGTTTTGACGATAATTCCCTTCACATTATTTAACCGCAATTGATCATTCTGAAATCCCTAGTTTCCCTTCTAGTTGTTCTTTTGTAACATTTATTGTATGTATATTCTTCTGCCTTTTCATCGTTCTTAACCCATGGACTTAAAACGTCTGAAGTTATTCGTACAGTAACATAGTCTAACAACTCTCTTTTATATTTCATGATGTTTATCTCGTATTCGTGTTGTATCTTTTCTATTCTGACAAAGCCTTATTTCATTACGGAATTTCTCTTCTTTTATATGTCCACCTTTTAGCTTACTGTTTAAAATTTCATTCCTTGCGAGTCGTTACACAAGATGGAATTTCTCTTTAGTTAAAAACCTACTGACTTTGCTAGATTGCTCTTCCGAGCTATGCGCCATTGATCTTTCATTTACCGTTGAATAAAGTGGTCCTTTATTGACGCACGCCCAAACGGTCTTGACAATTTGGAGGTGCTGCCTCCAAGAAAAGATCCCCTCAATTTGTCGCCAATTAGCTTGAGTGCTTTTGTCAGATAAACGAGCGTGCAGGAAACGGTTGGCATGTAATAACATTTTAACGCTTTGCTGGGGAAGTGATATATTACAAGAAGAAAGAAATATTAATTGGCATTATTCACCAAAGTGTATTGTTTCCAAACGAACTCGTCTATGGTACGTCAATTGAGCAGCAACTTTATTAGAAATATCGTCATGGAAATGTAGTTGCCAAGGCATTGTGGTAACGTGCCGATGGAACACACGAAAACGATGTGACAGGAATGCACCCTTACGGAAATTGCCATTGGGGTCTTATAGGCCGTTCCATAAGAAATTGTCCCAACATCATGCAGGGTCCTGTAGAATCTCTATAGAGTCCCGTAGGACGCTCTGTAGGAACATTTTCGTAGAGATGGTAGTCCGAGCAATGGAATTGATGGGTCCCAAATTATTAGTACAGGGTAGGGTTAACCGTAAGTGTATGGGTCAGTACTTGGACATAAAAACGTAATATTACCCACGGTCAGTATATGGGGCCAATGACACCTGGACATGGTGATGTGGGAAAAGACTACGGTTCCCAGCGGACTACCATTCCTGTCACAACGGCATGTGAGATGATTGCTTTTGCTGCGCACGTGTCAAAACGATGCACTCAAAGGTTAAGACCTGGTGTACATATATACATAGGTAAAGCGAAACCTTCAGTCAGCATCATAAACCCTTAATACTGTCTTGGTTCTAACTGAGATCTGCAATACAATTGTCCTTGCCAGATTTAAATTCGGCGTCCTTTTGTGGCTGCTGAAAGTGATGTTCCAGAAAAAAACGCTCATTTTGTTTCTTCGGCAGTGCTCACCAAATTGGCGATGCTTTCAACACAGAAACACAGAGAGAGATATTAATTGGAATTTTTAAAAATGGTCAACTAGTAAATACTGCTATTGTGATGCTTTAGACACCCAAGGTACAACTTTATCTGTTTGTTTGTCGGTCTGTCTGTACACATGGTTGATGGGCCACTGAAGCTCCTTTCTAATGGTACATCCGGGTCATCACTCTGCCTCAGCCCGCTCTCCACCCAACCTTAACTTGTCACCTCCCAGGAATGTATTCATACGCCGGCAGTAGTTCAGGCAGACCGGAAGTTTCTGCCTACAGCGCTCCAGACAGCCTCGGTGTGGAGGCCCCAGGGAGGGGTAACACATGACGTCACAGGCCATATTGTACGCCTTGCATTTGTCCTGGAAGAATATTGAAACACTTACGTTACGGGTGGAACGAAATATCATTTCTGGAAGTTGTGAATCACGAAAGTGACTCGTCACTTTCGTACTTTAATCCGTACTGGAACATCTTTAAAAAAAAAAAATGAACAAAGGCATCCCATCAAAAACGAGTTGCGCAAAACCAGAAATGTATTCTGTTTCCTATTATCAGCCGAAACATTTTGTGTTACGGGATTTTCTATTTAATTGTATCTATTAAACATGAATATGCACTTGATAGATCGATAAAAATAATTAACCTTTTAATAATTAATAGCCAAGTGCATACAAGCAAATCGCTCACCCCCTAATGAATTACTATGCATTATTGATGTTGAATTAACTAATTATCACTGACTTAAGTTCTGTCTTACGATCATATAGACTGTACTGCGAAGAGTTTCTAAATCTGAACCGATTGCTTCTTTTCTGTGGCTGAAAACTCTGAGCTTTACATACAGCGGGAGAACGTTTTGACAGCATATTATACTCCCTGACAAAGTGTCACGCAATAATCGATTTGCAAGGCGAATAGGGAAGTGTTTGTATCCTCGACTCCAAAATCGATTAAAACCACGTAATGTGAGGATCGCACCTGCGCCTATCAGGTACGTGATATACTCATTTTTTTATGATGACGGGAAATAGTATACTTACGCGTCTTCTCTAATTGCTCAGGAACATTTGTTTCGACGTTTGATGTCATACGGATGCTTGCTATACTTATATTTTTATAATGACGGGAAATCATGCTCTTACTTATCCTATCT